TGGTGGGTCCAAACCACCAGTTGTTTTTTCAATTAGTAGCTAGCTGAGCATTTAACCATTTGTACCACCCACAGCTTTGTTTTCCCGAATTCTAAAACACCAAACCAAACCACTTACCGTGGGTTTATCCTTGTTCCTCTGGACCGAGGAACGTTCCGTCCAATTGTGCTCCACTGTAAGGACCCTTCCAACTGCTGGGCGTGCTCGCGGCAGATGCCTCCACAGAGCTGTTGACATGAGGCCAGGTCACCTCATGGAGGAAGCCTCAACTGCCAAACTACTAAGGATCCCGTACCCACTAAGTTGAGACAAATCCTGTCACCTCACCCATCTCCACCCTGGCCCCTCTTACAAGGATTCTCCCGCCTCTCTCCTAGATTAGTCCTTGATGACTCCTGTTCTCCCGGGTGCTCAGACCTGACATTTTAGAATCAGCCTAGAGTTCTCTCTTTGTTGTTTGTGCTTACACCATTTGCAAATACTGTCATACGTCCCCATGAAATGTATCTATCATCTGAAAACTTTCTCTCCCCCACCCCTCTCCATGGCTGCATTCCCAATCTAAAACCTCATCATTTCCACACGGATTATTTCAATAGCTTCCTACCTCCTCTTCCTAGTTCTGTGTTTGTCCCACTCTTCTTTTCTCCAGGAAGAAGGTTCTTTTAGAACAAATCAGACTGTGTCATTCTTCCGCTTGTGCACATTGTGAACCATTGATTTCCCTTTTCACTCCGAATATAAGCCAACGAATATTCTTACCTGGGTTTACAAGGCTCTGTCTGATCCCTGACCCCGCAGACTTCCATGACTTCGCCCCCTTATCACTTTGCTTCCCTGTCACAGTTCTTAGGCAGACACATCCTGCTCCTCTGATGCACCAAGTCCTCCCTTTAGATAGTGCCCTGGTACTGCCCTTTCTTCCTGATCTGAATTGTGATACTGGTGGAGAATATTAAACAATACTGTGGACTGCCCGAAAAACCAACAACTCTGTCTTGGAAGAAGCACAGCTAGAATGTTCCTTAGAAGCTAGGATTGTGAAACTAGGATTGTCTCATGTACTTTAGACACGTTGTGAGAAGAGCCCCGTTCCTGGAAAAGGACATCATGCTTGGTGATGTAGAAGGACATCGTAAAAGAAGTCCTGGGCTCCGACATCACAATTGAGAGGGTGGCACAGGACCAGGGAGGGTTTTGTTCTGTTGTGCCTAAGAACAGACTGGACGGCATCTAAACCACACCACCTACACACCTTCACTCTTCTTCCTCTACGTAACTGATGGTCGATGTTTCCCACGCAGGTGCAGCTTCGCCACAGTGGGCATCTCTGAAAACTCTGTAAAATAGGAACTGGTGCTTCACTTTCCTTTACACTGTTTACCTGCTTTATAGCCATAATTCTTATGGCCAACTCACACATTTCCTTTAGTTGAAGGACTTTGTTCACTATTGAAATAGGTACTTAGTAAAGACTGTTGAGTGAATGCATCCTGACTATTATTAGAGTCTTATTAGAATAAGTGATGAATCTACTAAAAGAGCCTGACTAGTATCCTGCACTTGTAATAGAGCCCTTTTCCAGAGTAGTAACAAGTATCCCTTCCCATAAGCGTAGAACCCTATGCAGAGACATGCTAAAGGGCTTGCTTTGGTTTTTTGCTGTTTTTTTAGTTTTCACTTCTAAATTTTTAATAAGAGGATGTTAAAGTGCCACAACATAGAAATGTTCTTAAATTTAGATGTAAGGTAATAATTAAGGACTAAAAGCATGCCTTTAAAAACTAAGGCTGCTATAAGAATAGTTGCATGATAGTTGATAGCTGCTTCAATTAAAATGTATTAAATCATGTTGAATTCATGCTATCTAATACTGCCCACTCGCTCTGCTGTTGTTATGTGCAACCACGTCAGTTCCAACTCTTAGTGACCTCACGCCTCACAGAATGAAACGCTGCTGGGTCCGCAGCACCCTCACGATCGTTCTGAGGTTTGAGCCCTCTTAGGTACCTTGTTGGAATGGCATCTGACCCCTCATCCTTGACAAGGAGGAAGGAAAATCAAATTCAACATCAGTCTAAGGCCAAGTCCTGTGAGGGAGAGGTCAGGCATGCCGCTACCCTCCAGCTTTGTTGACCGTTTCTGGGCCCAGTCTATCCCCCCCACCCCACCCCCACTCTCTACTTCTCTGATGCGTTCGTTAATGAATTGCAGTGGTTACATAGAACTTAGACATTTGTCACAATTATGTGATTAATCAAGGAAGTTACAAATCAGTACCAGAAATGCTTACGACAGTTTTACTATCAATCATGCCTTTCTCTGGTGCTTGGACCCTCATTCATGAGGTCCTTTCTTCTGTACTCTGCTCAGGCATCCTTACAAAGCTTTCTGTGGGTCAACCAACCTAGTTCCCCCAATTAAGTGCCTGGAGGCAAACCTTCTTTGAAGGTATTCTACTTTACTCCCTCTGGGACCAGGAAGCCCTTGCTTCTGCTCTGTCACTCCTCTGCTTCTCCTCTGGTTTCATAGCTGTCTCCTGCTGGTTCATTTTGCAGGTATCTCGGGACCTAAAAGACACACTGCACTCCTCGATATTCTTTCTTGACAGTAGTGAGATCCCTATTTCTTGCTTCTGCGTTGGCTCCTTGTATACCCAGTGGGATGACAAAATCTTGTTTTCTCTTACTCATCAGGAAAAGAAGAATATATCCAATATTCAGTTTCACTCAGTGCTTGGTTTGAGATACATAGCCAGTAATTACTGCACCACAGCCCTGTGATCATCTGGCAGCACAAGGAGCTTGAATTCTGTACTGTGGGAAACACTCACCAGTACTATCAAGTGTTAACTGTCTGTTCATGTCTTTTGCCCACTTTTTAATTGGGTCATTTGTTATTCTCTTATTGGGAGGTGTAGAGTTCTATAGATTTTAGTAATTACCCTTGTCTGTTGTGTCATTGCTAAAAAAAGTTTTCCCAATCTGTAAACTCATTTTACTATTTTGATGAAGTCTTTGGATGTGTGTTTATTTTTAGTAGGTCCCAGCCATCCGTTTTGCCTTCAACTGTGTGCTTCCTTTATTATACTTGGTAATCTGTGTATACCCAGCAATAGGGACCATAAATTTGTCCCAATATTCTCATTGATGATGCTTATAGCTCTGGGTTTTACATTTAAGGTCATTAATCCACCTTGAGTTCATTTTTGTGCATGGAAAGAGATATGGGTCCTACTTCATTCCTCTGCCATATGGAGATCCAATTTTTCCTGCACCATTTGTTGAAGAAGCTGTCTCTATCCCATTTGATAGTTTTCAGTCCTTTGTCAAAGATCAGTTGTCTGTAGGTGAATGCATTTACTTCTGGGTTTTCTATTCTGTTCCATTGGTCTCTGTGTCTAACGTTGTCCCTGCACCAGGCTGTTTTGACTACTGTGGCTATGTAGTAGGTGTCGAGGTCAGGTAATGTGAGGCCTCCTGTCTGGCTCATCTTTTTCAGAAGTTCATTCCTGTGTTAGGCAGAGTTCTCTAGAGAAACAAAACCAGGAAACTTATGATTTTATACACACACACACAGAGGTTTATATAGTAAGGAGGAATATAACAGCCTATCAATACACTCAGCAGTACAGAGTGCTAAGTTCAACTCACTTTCATGGAACAGTGAATATACTGGAAGTCCTTCAACTCATGTGGGCTGCCAGGTCCAAGGTCAAGAAAGCAAACAGCAAAATCTTCCCTCAGGCAAGGCAGGCAGAGTCTGACAGCAGACAGCAGGGGAGGTCAGCAATAGTCTGACTAGTAGCTTGGGTGCTTAGCAAAGCAGGCTCTGATGGGATCAGGAACTCAAGCACAACAACAGGAACCACCAGCCTCAAGGTCAAGCAGTGTATGCACCAGCAGTATGGCAAAGCAGGTCTTGAAGGAGCCTCAAGCTCTAGCTACAAGATCCATGGATTGGCTTGGCCCACAGGTAGTGTTGCAAACATGTTGAGGCAGAGGCAGAAAACTAGCTAAAGCAGCATCATGCTGGTCCTGTCATCAGGGAGCAAGAGTGAGATGGGATGCTAGCTGTCTTTATTTCAGTCATCCTCCAATCAAACTGCAACCTGATTAAACTCCGCCCACATGTTCCCATTGGCCTAGTTGGCACAATGAACCTTTCACAATTGCTTATCCTGGTTCCATTTCGTTAAAGAATGAAGTTGGGATTTGGATTGGGATTGTTCAATAGATGGCTTTGGGTGGTACTGACCTTTTCACAGAATAAAGTCTGCCTATCCATGAACACAATGTATCTTCCCATTTATGTAGGCCTTTTTTGGTTTCTTGTAGTAGTGTTCTGTAGTTTTTTTTGTTTTTGTACATGTCTTTTGTTTCTTGGGTTAGGTTTATTCCTAATTATTTCAGCTTTTGCATTGTATTATAAATGGTATTGTTTTACTGTCATTTGCTGAGCTCTCTTCACTGGTATACAGAAACCAATTGATTTCTCTCCTTGTCAATCTTGTATCCTGCTACCACACGGAGGACATTGCAGGGTGAATTGCTGAAATTGTAGTTCTGTCAAAATGTGACACCTTGTCATTCATCTCCCTTTGACCCAATGTATATTTGCTCCAATTTTTCATACTCTCTGCTTTATTTTTAACTGAGATTTTTCTTTGTTTCATTGTGTCATTTTGGGGTTTTGGTTTTTTTTTTTTGGTATTGCCTTAATTTTATATGATTTCCTGTATATGAAACCCAGGTTACATAACCCTAAAGAGACAACAACTGGGTTAATATAATCAAAGGGGCTGGCAGGAAATAGGAGAGGTAACAACAATGAATCCAAGGAAGAAGAAATTTCTGGAATTGATTGTGGTGATGAATGTGATTGAATTATTGAAATATATGACATGTGAATTGTATGTCAGCCAGACTGTTAAAAATAAGAAACCTAATTAAAAATTTTTAAATAGTTAACTGATTATTATTCTTATTCTTATTAAACAGTCCTGAAAATCACCAATTTCCAGCAAAACCATTGAGAGAGTCCCAGAGCCATCTTCTTACTGATTCTCAAACTTGGATAGAGAGTACCTCAAACCCAGGAAAAGGCAAATCTGGTAAGCATATTTGTTTTTGAAAGGTGAAAAATAATGACAATTCAATTAATATCATCTGTAGAATTTGTGTTTGTTTTTACTTTTTGAGTTAGACTCACTCTCATTGTGAAACTAGAATTATTTTCAAACCTCTCTATGTGAGGTACTTTAGCTAATGTCTGCTACCAGTGTACTGGGTTGAGTACTGTTCTCTAGATATTCATGTTCACTCAGAATCTCAGAATGTGACCTTATTTGGGAATAAGATCTTTGCAAGTATCATTAGTTACGATGAGCTTCATTTTGAATTAGGATGGGCCACAATTGAATGACTGGTGTTCTTGAAAGAAGAGAAGGCACACAGAGTCAGATCAAAAAAATGAGGAGGAGGCAGAGATTAGAATGAGCCAGCTACAAGCCAAAGAATACCAAGGGTTGCTGAGAGCCACCAGAGGCTAGGCGACAACTCTTCCCAACTCCTGAGGTTCAGGCAGCTGGCTTCCAAAACTGTGAGATAATATACTCCTAGTCTTGTAAGCCACTCAGTTTGTGGTAATGTTCTATAGAAACCCTCGCAAACCAATAGTCAGTTTTTGAAAGACAGGTCTACATTGTTGTTGTTGTTGTTGTTTTTTCCATTTAAAAAACCAAATCTTTATTATTGTGCGTGATGTAAAATAATAAGAAATAAAACTGAAAATAAAAAAACACAATAAACTCAAATGAAAGGTTAAAAACCATGTTGAATATGATTCATTTTACTGGTATGATTTCTAATACCAAAATGTCTAGTTAAAGTGACCTCACAGTTGCCATAGTTTATCTGTTATTTCATTATATTCTATTTATAGCCCTCTTGTTATTGTTGACTTTAATATTTTGATTACTTCAGCTGGTGTAGCCTATTGACAGAGAACAAGCATTGCCTTAAAGTTACGCAGATTTGGCTTAAAATCCCAATTTGGGAACCTGACAAGTTACTTAGCAGTAGCACACACTTTTTAGACTTAAAAGTATTAAGCAAAAATAAAGTAATCTTAAGTGCCAGTGTGTTTAAGCGTGGTTGGTATGTGTAGTATCTTTATAAATGAATATACAATCATACATCCACGATTAAGGCACTATCTGCCAGATAATCTTCAGGTTCACTGATTTATTTTTTAAAAATTGCTCATTTAACTTCTCTTCAAATCATCTAGCATTTCCTGGCCTTGGTTCATAATTCACTAGGGCATGTTAGGTTAACTTTTTTGTTAGTTTGAGAGATGAGTTGAGAGACTATTTAATGTAAAGGATGATGAAAAGGGAGAGAAACAGGAAAAGAATGGGTGAGAGAGGGCTCAAAGATGAGTTTGACTAGAATGAGGCAGGCAGTTGAGGAATTAGGAAACCATAGTTAAGATTATGTGAATAGTGCCAGGTTCAATGTATGCATCTTTCGTTATTTTGTTCTCTTACTTCGTGAGGGGTATATCTCAAATTATATTTTGAAAGTGTTTTGTCACATAGTTGTGGTTGACACCTCGTGTGTGTGTTTGTGCCTGTGTGTGTTTTTACATCCTCTTATTAGAGTCTGTACTTTAGGTACAAGTACAAGCATCTTTAGCCGTATACTGAAATAATTCATAAACAAACATATTTCTGCTTATTTATTCAACAAAAAACAAACATGCTAATTTATGTTCTTTAGGTATGAGCAATCCTGCGTTAACCATGGAGAATGAAACATAACTCTTCAAGCAAAAGAAATTTATACTTTATTGAAGGTAAGATATATTTTGCCTTAGTTGTTCTGATTTGTAATTTAGACAGCTTCCTTGTTCTCTTAGGACAGTTTCTTATAAACATTATTACAGTAGAACCCTGGACCTTGATGCTAATATGTTTCAGAAGGAATGTCCAGATGCGATGCAGTCAAGTTCCGAATCAATTTTTCCCAAAAGAAATAACTAAAAGTGGATTAATCCATTCTCAACCACCAAGTTTTTAACCTAACCTTGCCTTTTTATACAAAACATTACACAGAAATTTCAAAGTAAAGTTCAGAGTTAAATAATATAGTTTAAATAAGAAACACAACATTAAAAATGTTTTTAACAACTACAGTGTGGCCCATACCTTGAGACTGATGAGGATCTGGATCTGTGGACAGGATGTGGAGAGTAGGGATGGAGAGAGAGTCATTGTTTGGAAGGGGAATTCCCTTCCATAGAATCAACTGGGAGCTGCTTTTCAAGAGTTTTTGTCCCTTCTTTGCCTTTTTTCACTAGGACCTGGCTGCCTTTGTCTTAAAAAAAAAATCTGTCTAATGTGGTCTGCTGTTGGCATTTTCTTAACTGTTTTAAAACGGGTTACTAAATTATCTTTAACAATATCGATAACATGGTTTACCAATTCCTTATTATGATGATTTTTATCAAAAAACTCTTAGAACCCATGTTTTTTTAAATCTAAAAACAGTACAAAAAGCCACAAAAACTAAGAAAATTATAGCAAAACACTTGGAACACAGCCGCAAATGGTTTAAACAATGCATACTAACGCCAACTAATGCCAAATGACCAAAACACCAACTAATGCCAAATGACCAAAACACGAACTTGTTAACAAAACATTTTGTTTCAAAAATCACGTGCGTCAGGTCAGTTGTGATGTTTTGTTCGAGCTCCAATGCAAAATTCTCTCAACATTTCGAGTCGAAATCCGATGATGTCGAGTACCGATGCGGTCGAGTACCGGGGTTCTACTGTGTTTCTCTTTAAGTGGCTGTCCTCGCTGACCTCTTACCAAAACCAATGGGACCTTGGTCATGAGGCTACGTCGAGATTAACTAGTATGTAGGGTACTTTGATAAATTGCAGAAATAAGTTGATGAACAAAATTCAATTTTCTAGTAAAACATTAAATGGCAGGGGTTGATCCTAGAATGTTGACTTTATCATGAAATTTATCTTGTCATTTCATAGGATAAGGCCATTATTTTAATTCTATTTAATTCAGGAAAACACTCTGGTCATACATTGACTGTAAATTAGCATAATTTCACTGAGTCTAAATACAGGATAACTTCATCTTCTTAGCAAAAATCTTTGTAATCTCCATACATTAGTTAGAAAATTATCTCTGAGCTTTTTATAAAATATTTTCTATTTCAGAAATTTCCAGATGGTTGCAAAGTGCCTAATTTCATAGTCATGCTAAAGAGCGGACTGCTGTTGTAGAGAGTAGAATTGCTCCATAAGGTTTTTCAAAGCTCTGGCCTTTCGGAAGTGGATCGCCATGCCTTTCTTCCGATGTGCCTCTGAGTTAAGCCTGCCAACCTTTTTACAATCAATCAAGGACCACATACCCATTTGCTTATGCACTCTAGATAAAAACAGCAGCAGCAGCAGCCAACTACAGACTGTGCTTCTGTGTGCATGATGTTTCAAAGTAATTTGACCAAATGCTCTTTCCCCCTTTGGGCTCCTAAACTACTTGTTTCAGATGAACACATAACTAATCCCCCAGCCCCCTGCCACTCACCATCTGGTCCACGGACCAGCAACAGCCACCTCACCCAGCAGCTTGTTGGAGAATACAAAATCTTGGAACATACTCTAGACCTCCTGGGCCAGAATCTCATTTTCTGCATCTTAACATGAGCATCATTATGCACATTCAAATTTGAGAAGCATTGGCATAAAAGTCTGTATTCAAGCGACCTCTAGCAGAGAAAACATTTAATTTTGCACAAGATGTTGTTGCAACAAACAACAAATGAGTTGGTAATGGTTTTTTTCCTCTTGACATTTTTAATGCACAGTTAACACACATTTCCTGTCTTGTGTTTTATTTCAGGGTGTCAGTGTAGATGGACAGAAGAAGCTTCCTACGAAGGCATGCTGACCAGTTTCCCCACTTCTCCTTGGCTGGATATACAGATTGTGAACTGATTGGTTCTCCCCCAGCCATCCCCTGAAACATTTTCTATACACTATGCAGGTGGTTTCAACTAACACAAATTCCTATTAAATGTTAATACTAATTATGGCTTGTGCATATGGGGGTGGGGAAAGAGCTTCTATCATAAAAACTTGGAATAAATTCATGGCCTAGATTCCACCAAATATATGGGTAGCACAATTTACCACAAGAACTCCAATTTTTAGATTCCGGAAATTGAGGATCTTGAGATAGTGTTTGAGACACAATGATAAGCTTCATTTGTGAAACCTGCTGGCCATCTGTAAAAGATAGCAAATCAGACTTCTGGGTTTATTCCCTCTGATAGGAATTGGACCTCAGAGTGAACAAACGGTGCAACTCTGAATTCATGACCAAGCTCAAATGGCCTGCAGGTGAAGATTGCCATCCATTATTACTAGACTTTAATCCAATTCTAGTCTTTGTTCGCTGGCAAACAAGTATGAATGTTGAAGCTTAAGCTCACTGATAAAGTTCTTGGCTAGAAAATTCTTGTCAGAACTAATACATTAAGATTACATTGGAAACATTTTTCCTCTCTTCTGGATTTCCTAAATTGGGAAGGGAAATCTGTGATAATAATTGTGAAGACTGGTTCATGATGTTCTTTTATTCAATATGGCTTAAAGAAAACCTTAATTTATTCCTCCTGTGGACTTTAGCAAAAGGATCGAGGTTAAGAATTCTTTGTGGACCCATGAACAAATCTTCCTGTGATACCTATTATCACTGTACCCTATCAACCTCAAATGCCCTGGTTAGAGTAAAGTATGCAAAAAATCATATTCTTCTGAAAATTTAGTTTAAAAAAACTATAGAAGTGTCATGTTGTTTGGAAATTTAGTTTAAGATAAACTACATTGTTATGTTTTTTGATGCCAAAATAATCAGCTTCAGTAACTATGCTGAGTTCTTGTGCCTTGTATGCACTATTAAGAAAAAAGGTATTTTTTGGTTTTGGTTTTTTTTGTAAATTTGAATTGGAGGGTATGTAAGTCTTGCTCATTATAATTGGCAAATAGAATAATAGGCTTTTTTTTTTTTTTTTTTTTGGTGTTGACTGAGAATATAAAGCAGATTACCTTTTAAAACTCCACAGTTAAAGGACCAATATTTAATCAAAGAAATGAGTGGTATTTAACTTTTCAGAATCGTTGTTGAACAAAACTTCAACACAAAATAAACTAGAAAACCAGGGGACAATGAAGTAAAAGATCCTTACAATTATCTGTCTTTACTAAACATCTCAAAAGCGTTATAGTAAATGAGTTTGTGAAAGAATCAATGTCAGCCAAATTCATTTTTATTTGGGCGTACTTCTTTGACGATCTTTTTATGGAAAAAAATTTTTTAAGAGTTAAGGATTTTAATCTGATAACTTGCATTAAGAGATTGCAAAAGATGGTGCATTTTTACTTTTATTTCAAACTTGATGCATCTTTTTGTAATCATTTTGCATTACCTAAGTGCCAGATGGAAGTCTACAAGCTACTGCTAGAAGTCTTACTGAAGACAGCACCATGTGATGTGTTGAGAGTGGAATGCAGCCAGTTTTTTTCCCAAAGCACAGCACTACAGCTGTTTTCTGGGACAATATTCTATTAGACGTTCTCTACCAAACCTTTTTTTTTTTTTTTTTTTTTTTGAGTAAAGTTATCAAACTAGAAGGTAAGAAAAACAGGGGGCGAGGTGGGGCCTTTCTTCTTTACTGCTAGAGTACTATTTCCCCCTCACCTCTCAGGCCTTTTAACAATTATTCAAATACATAAATCAGTAATACATAGAATAATTTAAATCAAAATAGTTAAAAATGTTTCATTAAGTTATAATTGTTTCTGTCCTATTTTATTTGTTTTAACTCTGGTCAACCTTTAAGGAGTTTTTGTTTAATTTTGTTTGTTTGCTTTAGTTCTACAGGATTATATATTTTTATTATCTCATTAGGTATGAAGTAGATATTATACCCAAGTAAATAAAACAATCAATTTAGTTTGTGCATATTTTATAAAACTTTCTTTTAAAATATTTTAAACATTTCAATTTTTTAAAAATTTAATGACATTTAGACATTAGCTGTCCTGATTATGCATTAAATTGATCATTTTTATTGTTTCCTGTTTTGAGAGAAAGCCCTGGTGGCATAGTGTTAACCCTGGGACTGCTAACCAAAAGGTCAGCAGTTTGAAACCACCAGCCACTCCTTGGGATAAAGATGAGGCTTCCTACCCCTGTAAAGAGTAAAGTCTTGGACACTCACAGGGGCAGTTCCCCGCTGGTCTGTTAGGTTGTTATGAGTCAGACTTGACTTTATAGCATCGTGTTTGCAGTACAGACATTGTGACGTAAGAAGCTCTTCACTTACAAGTTCATGTACACACTTTCACATTAGTTAACTTTTTGCTTTGTGCAAGACTTTTTTTTTTTCCAAAGATAAAGAAAATGCTTCTACATATAAATAACCAGACATTGCAGAAAATGCATACCCACAAATCCCAGCCAGTTATGCCTGAAGTTTGGATAGCTTCATTAGCTGTCTATATGAAATTGCCTTTGCACTGACAATCTAAATGGTTTTGAACATAGTTTTCTCAATTGTCTAAAAGGGCTACTAATGGCAAAAGCTATGCCCACAATCTGGTTATAACATAGTGTTTTGATGGGTGGGGAGGGGAAGATTGATGAATGATGTAATTACTAATTGTTTTTAAATGATTCTCAGGACAGTAACAAACTAGGAAACTTTAGTACATTGTAATCATCAGAGAACTATTGAAAATTAGCCTGGTTGACACACACCAAAAAATCATATTCACTAGACATCAAATACAAAGGAACTATAAACATGTGCACAAAAATGTATGCTGTAATTCTGTGATTAATGCTTTAAGAAAGCAAAATGTAAAAAACTATTATTCAACTAATATTATGAATAGAAATGTTTCCCTATTTTGGAACACATGTAATCTTGATGTACTGGTTCTGAAGTCACACCAGTGACTTTGATGAACATGTTTTTATGCAAATGTGCTGCATGGTTTTGCCATGGGAGGGGCCCCCTCTCACGACAGTTTCCTGTGTGCACTATGAGGGTTATAGATGTGTGGGACTTACATGGGTGTGTTATATGCAAAAATAGGGTGCTCGTTACATGGTCACATATTTACCTGATGGCTCTGATATTTTTATGAGTTCAAAAATAAAAATACAAACATATACAAACCACATAAAATGGTAAATGCAAACCTATTTTCACTGTATACTATGTTGGAGATACCTCCAGTACCACAATCTCTCAATGGATTTTTTGCAAGTAACATATATCTCTAGGTAAGATGTTTCTGCAAATAATAAAAAAGTTTTTGCAGCTTACACTGCTTTTTCCACATACTTAATCTATTCAGACGGAGAACAGGACCCTGTTACTCACCGTATGTATTTGTTACTCTTTTACAAAGATACCACTAACATTTTTGAACCTTGACTTGGTAAACATTTATAGATTATAATTTTTATTGACAGTTTAGTAATTTGATCATGTAACTAATTAAAAGCACTAAATAAATGCCAGTATTAAAGCAGTCTTGATTGTAAAACTGAGCAATCTATTCTGCAGTGGGCGTCCTGTAGAATAATGACCAAAGGATCTGACTGTGTTACTTGACAGAGGAAGTGGTTATAATACATCATGATGCCCTTTCACTGTCTCTTTTTTGTGGTTCGTTTGCTCATCTCTCATCAGAGTCCTAATTGGCACACAGTGGACATCATTGAGGGGTGCATTCAAGAAGCTTGTTTCCAAGAAGGTCCCTGGGTGACTGAATTTGCCTTGACTACTAGCCTAGTGGTTAGAAGTTTAACTCTACCCAGTGGTGCCATGAAAGACGGGCCTGGCGATTTGCTTCTGTAAAGATTAGCCATTGGCACTGAGTTGATGCCGATTCATAATAAAGGCCATGGAGCACCGTGCCGTCAGTCGAAATGAGCTCCATTTGGGCTTGTTTCAAGGAAACCCCTGTGGTTCAAAAGCCAGGAAGCAGCTCCTAGTGCAATGGCAGGCAGCAGGACACTCAGGAATGGGATGCTGCTTTTTCCTTCCCCAAACAAAATCCCCTGGAAATGTAAGCAAAGAGGCTGCTCTACCATAGGACAGCTTGGGCTACTTATACTGCTCCTTGCACTCCTTCATTGTCCTCATGCCCACAAACAGCTCAAAGAGGGTCCTCTGTGTGGTGCCAGCGGACACGACGGTCCTTTCAGATGACAGTACACTGAAAACGAAACTGACGGTCACCTCCTCAGACAGACCTTACTTTGGTGGTCTTGTTAGTGGGAAGTCGAGGGAAAAAGGTTAAAAAAGTTAGTTGTGACTGGCTTGTTTCTGACTACTAACTAAAACCAAAGGGGATCTTTAAGTCACTAATGTTCAACTCTTGTTTATGCTACATACGGAGTTCCTAACTGGTGAGAAAAGAGAGGCTTGCAGGGAATATTTGCCAGTGTAAGGAACTCAATCATGGACAGAAGTTATTAATATTTGTTGATTTTTATTTGATCAATAAAGATGTTTAATCAAACCCAGACAAGCCAACTATTCGAAGTAGGATTCTGTTGGTGCTGAATTAAAGAGCTGGTTCTATGGACTGCTTCTCCTCTTATTCAACGAGGACAGCAAAGCTATTATTGTCAGAGTTTAGCTCTAGTGTCTTTTCCCGGCAGGATGAAAAGTATCTTAGAGGACCGCATCAAACATTTATGGTGTGGAAGTTAAATATTAAAACCAACCGTAAAGACACATCTCAGAGTAAAAAGCAAACATGTTTTAAGGTTCTGCAGAAGATAATTTAGGCAAAGCGTAGAGAATTTGGATGAGCTCCAGAATGGCCAGAGAGGATCAGCTGCAAATCCGTACAGACATGCCTCATTTTATTGTGCTTTGTATTACTGCAGCTTACAGATACTGTTTTTGTTTAAAGAAAGAAAAACTTTGAAATGTGTGGCAACCCTGAACCACAGGCAAGTCTACTGGTACCATTAGGGGGTAATTCTGACAATATTTAAACTGTTTCATAATGTTATTTGACACTTTCTATCCAAAAATACTGCCGTCAAGTTGATTCTGACTCAGCAATCCTACTTAGGATTTCCAAAACTGCAAATCTTTAC